AAGGGGTGGTCAACAACCCAGATAGAGATACATATATCACATCTTGTGCCTCTATCCCTAGAGTTAACAAGTATATAACCCTTGCAGTGTATGTGGGGAAGGGAGGGACATGGGCACTGCAAGGGTTGTTCATTTGTGATTCTCGGAGTTGGACTTTAAAAAACATTACCCCATCATTTTAACCACTTGACCTTCAGAGGATTTACCCCCCTTCCTGACCAGGCTATTTTTTGCGATAAGGAAATGCGTTAATTTAACTGACAATTGCACGGTCATGCAACGCTGTACGTAAATGACATTTATGTCCTTTTTTTTCCCACAAATAGAGCTTTCTTTTGGTGGTATTTGATCACTTTTGTATTATTTTTTTGCACTATAAACAAAGAAAGACCGACAATTTTGAAAAAAAAAAAACATAATTTTGGACTTTTTGCTATAAAACATATCCAATAAAAAGTATTAAAAATCCAATGTCTTCATAAATTTAGGCCAAATATATTCTTCTACATGTCCTTGCTAAAAAAAATCCCAATAAGTGTATATTAATTAGTTTAAGTGAAAGTTATAGTAGCTACAAATGGAGGTACATATACTGGAATTTTTATTTTCAATTTTTTTTATACTAGTAATGGCGGCAATCAGTGACTTATAGTGGGACTGCAGGCATTCTGAAACTGGGTGGGAACTGACAAACTGCCACTGACATCTCCAGTGACACTAATACAGCGATCAGTGCTAATAAAAAGCACTGACACTGTACTAATGACACTGGGCAAGACGGTGTTAACATCTGGGGAAACCAAAGGGTTAATTGTGTCATGTGTGTGTGTTTTTTTTTATGTACTGTGTGTGTTTTACTACAGAAGGGAGAATGTCACCAGCACACTGAGGATTACCAATATGGGTTCAAAAGTTTTAATGATCGATCTTGCAGGACCCCTTCATCAGGCAAGTGATCAAAAGCAGCATGTCCTTGCTGGAAAGAGAGAGACCTGTGTTGTTTACACACAGGTCTCTCCCCTGTCAGCTTTCCCCGACGATCGCTGAGTGCCAGCCAGGAATCTCTGGCCGGGACCCGGTGATTGATATCCCTAGCTGCCAACAATGGCGCGGGTAGGGCGGCACGTGCGCCCCCTACGCGGAAATGCAAATCACGTATATATACATGATTTTGCACAGCCCTGCCTCCCTGTAGCAGTACTTCTACTATAGGATGGCGGGCAAGCAGTTAAAGTGTGTCTACCAAATATTCTAGTTTTGGATAGTGTGGGGAATTAGAGCTCCTGTCAGGTTTTATTGATCCATCGGAGGATCTTTTGGAGAGATTCCTGTCTAGTAGAAAGGTTGTCCCCAGGACAGGAAGTAAGGGGAAGTTTTTTTAAGTTAAGTAGTAAAATGCTAGAACTTCTCCAGCAGTAATGCCTGACCAAGGTTCTAATCTTTACCCATTTTATCTAAAACAGAAAAAAGCCTTAGGTGTAGATACACTTTAAAGTGCCACTAAATGTACTTATTTTTCAAAAATAATCCATACATATCCACTGTTTAATGGACCTGTAATCTATTTAAGTGTTGTTTTCTTCCTCCTTTGTGAGCTCACAAACCTCTCCTTGCCCTCCTCCCCCCAATTCCATTTGTTTAAAATGCACAATGGAAGTTAGTTGCAGTCATGTCCATAATCCATAGCCTATCTCAGGGGTGACAAAGAGAGGGTTGCCATGCTCTTCACTACAGGGGAACCATGAAGAACAAAGTTAGGCTCCCTCCATTTGAAAGTCATATTGCAGCAGCAAGTAAAAAACATTTTGTGGATTTGCAGGAGGCTGAGAGCATGATTATAATTTCTTTGTAAATATATATATATATATATATATATATATATTATATTGTACACAGCTCTGTGCAGAAGTTTTAGGCAGTTGTCAAATGATGTAAATTAAGAATCCTTTCAGGAAGAGAAGTGTTAATAGGTTATTTTTATCAATTAAAAAAATGGAAAGTAAATTAACAAAAAAGAAATCCAAATCAAATCAATATTTGATGTGACCACCCTTTGCCTTCAAACCAGCATCATTTCTTCTAGGTACACTTGCACAAGTCTTTGAAGGAACTCGGCAGGTAGGTTGTTCCAAACATCTTGGAGAACTGACCACAGAGGTTTTGTAGATGTAGGCTGGCTCAAATCCTTTTTTTGCGTGTAATCCCAGACAAATTCCATGATGTTAAGATCAGGGCTCTGTGGGGGCCCAAACCATCAGACCCAAGAATCCTTGTTCTTCTTTACGTTGAAGATAGAATAGATGACATTGGCTGAATGTTTGGGATCGTTGTCCTTCTGCAGAATAAATTTGGGGATAATCATATGCCCCCCTGATGGTATGGCATGATGGATAAGTATCTGCCTGTATATCTCAGAATTAAGGACACCATTGATCCTGAACAAATCTTCAACTCAATTTACTTCACTATTGCCTGCAAATATTCATTATTGTACCGCTCTCCAGTCCTTTAGTGAAAAAAATGACTCCTGCTACAGCCAAATATTCCAATTTATGACTAATTAATCCAGCACATCTACTGCCCTTTTTCTGTACCCCATTTATTATATGTCCGTGCATAATTGAGTTACTTAGCCCTGTTTCCATGCCAGAGGTATGGCTTTTTGGCTACAATTTTTCCATGAAGACCACATCTGGCCAGACTTCTCAAGACAGTTGATGGGTGTATCTGGGCCCCACTGGTTTCTGACAAAGTAAGTTTGATGTATCTCTCATTTGCTGCATTAAGTTCCCTTGGCTGTCTACGGTTCTCAATGTAGCCAGTTTCTTTGTGCTTCCTCAAAAAAGTTTGATTAATTGAATTGATGCTGGTTTGAAGCCAAAGGGTAGTCACACCAAATATTGATTTGATTTAGAATTTTCTTCTGTTCTCTCACTTTGCATTTTATAAATTGGTGAAAAAACAATTAAATATATATTTTTGAAAGCATTCTTACTTTACAGCATTTCTTCACATCTGTCTATAATTTTTGCTCAGTACTGTGTATAATATATATATATATATATATATATATATATATATATATATATATATACATATACAGTATCTCACAGAAGTGAGTACACCCCCTCACATTTTTGTAAATATTTTATTATATGACACTTTGCTACAATGTAAAGTAGTGAGTGTACAGCTTGTATAACAGTGTAAATTTGCTGTCCCCTCAAAATCATTCAACACACAGCCATTAATGTCTAAACCGCTGGCAACAAAAAGTGAGTACACTCTTAAGTGAAAATGTCCAAATTGGGCCCAATTAGCCACTTTCCTTCCCTGGTTTCATGTGATTCGTTAGTGTTACAAGGTCTCAGGTGTGAATGGGGAGCAGGTGTGTTAAATGTGGTGTTATTGCTCTCACTCTCTGATACTGGTCACTGGAAGTTCAACATGGAACCTCATGGCAAAGAACTCTCTGAGGATCTGAAAGAAAAAATTGTTGCTCTACATAAAGATGACCTAGGCTATAAAAAGATTGCCAAGACCCTGAAACTGAGCTGCAGTACGATGGCCAAGACCATGCAGCAGTTTAACAGGACAGGTTCCACTCAGAACAGGCCTCGCTATGGTCAACCAAAGAAGTTGAGTGCATGTGCTCAGCATCATATCCAGAGGCTGTCTTTGGGAAATAGATGTATGAGTGCTGCATGCATTGCTGCAGAGGTTGAAGGGGTGGGGGTCAGCCTGTCAGTGCTAGGACCATACACCGCACACTGCATCAAATTGGTCTGCATGGCTGTCATCCCAGAAGGCAGCCTCTTCTAAAGATGATGCACAAGAAAGCCCGCAAACAGTTTGCTGAAGACAAGCAGACTAAGGACATGGATTACTGGAACTTTGGTCTGATGAGACCAAGATAAACTTATTTGGTTCAGATGGTGTCAAGCGTGTGTAGCGGCAACCAGGTGAGGAGTACAAAGACAAGTGTGTCTTGCCTACAGTCAAGCATGGTGGTGAGAGTGTCATGGTCTGGAGCTGCATGAGTGCTGCCGGCACTGGGAAGCTACAGTTCATTGAGGGAACCATGAATGCCAACATGTACTGTGACATACTGAAGCACAGAATTATTCCCTCCCTTCAGAGACTGGGCTGCAGGTCAATATTCCAACATGATAACGACCCCAAACACACCTCCAAGATGACCACTGCCTTGCTAAAGAAGCTGAGGGTAAAGGTGATGGGCTGGCCAAGCATGTCTCCAGACCTAAACCCTATTGAGCATCTGTGGGGCATGCTCAAACGGAAGGTGGAGGAGCACAAGGTCTCTAACATCCTCCAGCTCCGTGATGTCATCATGGAGCAGTGGGAGAGGACTCCAGTGGCAACCTGTGAAGCTCTGGTGAAATCCATGCCCAAGAGGGTTAAGGCAGTGTTGGAAAATAATGGTGGCCACACAAAATATTGACACTTTGGGTTCAATTTGGGCATGTTCACTTAGGGGTGTACTCACTTTTGTTGCCAGCGGTTTAGACATTAATGGCTGTGTGTTGAGTTATTTTGAGGGGACAGCAAATTTACCCTATTATACAAGCTGTACACTCACTACTTTACATTGTAGCAAAGTGTAATTTCTTGAGTGTTGTCACTTGAAAAGATATAATAAAATGTTTACAAAAATGTGAGGGGTGTACTCACGTCTGTGAGATACTGTATATATATATATATACACAGTATATATATATATATATATATATATATATATATATATATATACACTATATTGCCAAAAGTATTGGGATGCCTGCCCTTACAAGCACATCAACTTTAATGGCATCCCAGTTTTAGTCCGTATGGTTCAATATTGAGTTGGCACACCCTTTGCAGCTATAACAGCTTCAACTCTTCTGGGAAGGAAGTCCACAAGGTTTAGGAGTGTGTCTATGAGAATGTTTGACCATTCTTCCAGAAGTGAATTTGTCAGGTACTGATATCGGATGAGAAGACCTGGCTCACATTCTCCGCTCTAATTCATCCCAAAGGTGTGCTATCGGGTTTCGGTCAGGATTCTGTGCAGGCCAGTCAAGTTCCTCCACCCAATCCAAGTTCGCAACAGCTGGAGGGCTGCCAGTTTGACACCCCTGCTCTAGTATGTGCTGACCCCGCTCTGTCATTTTATGTGGCCTACCACTTTGTGGCTGAGTTGCTGTTGTTCCCAGTTGTTTCCATTTTGTTATAATACCACTAGCAGTTGACCGTGGAATATTTAGTAGCAAGCAAATTTTACAGATGAATTTATTGCACATGTGGCAACCTATCACGGTATCACACTTGAATTTACTGAGCTCCAGAGAGCAACCTATTATTTCACAAATGTTTGTAGAATCAGTCTCCATACCTAGGTGCTTTATTTTGTACACCTGTAGCCATAGAGGTGATTGGAACACCTGAATCCAATGATTTGGAGGGGTGTCCCAACACTTTTGGCAATATAGTGTATATTCAGATTTAATATACAATATTAACACTTTATAAACTTTATCTCTATAGTTATTGATCATAAATATAAATAATAGCACACACCATTTTATGTCACACAGCTTGATTGTGTCTGTGTCCAACTCGCAGCAAGTCTACAGACTGTTAAAAAGCCATAGTCAAGGTTTCATTTTTACATCCTGCTGCTCAAGGCATGGTGTGTCCTTGAGTATAATATCTGCACCTTGCGTCATGAATTTATTAGTATGTTGGCAATATGCAGTACTCTGTATATGCAGGTCTGCTTTTAACCATAGAGACCACCAAATCAGAACAAGGAGAGACATTTTTTAGATGTTTCTTGAACAATAAAGAGAATTCTGACTCCACTCAACATTCCATGAGCCCATACAGGTTCAAAGGTGGTCAGAAGGAGAAAATTATATAATAAAATGAAAATAAAGAAAAAAGTGATTATGATATGTAAATGTTGAGGCTTAGCCCTGCTCCCTCTCACCCTGCTGCCCTAGGCACTCCTCCACAAGTGTCATTATTATATTTAGAGCCCTGCCTGCAGTCAGCGATGGTGGCAGTGGCAGTCTTTTTACAGAGAGATGTATCTGCTAGCTGGCAGTCACTTCCTTTGCAGCATAGAGAAATCAATGTACTCTTAATCAAACAGTTGTCAATAAGTGGTTAAATCTTTCAGTGGTATGGGAAAAAACTGCCTATTTATCTTGAGGCTAGCTTTTCCAGATTACGTTCAAAAATTTTGGTAGATTTTCTGCTATACAGATTGCCAATGAAAATGACACTTAGAAATTTGTACAATGCACAGTAATCATGAAACTTTAACATAACAAGTGCATACAATTGTAAATATTACATACAAATTATTAGGCAAATGGTACAACAGCAGTCAGAAGCACTGCTAGAAAAACTTATTTATACCAAATATTTCATAAGCTTTTCAGAATCTTTTACAGCAAGTGCACTTGTCGTTTTTAACACCTTTTTTCTTAAAGTGACACTAAATGATCTCCTTACTCTCCAAAAATAATCCATATCCATCCACTACTTGAAGGCCCTGTAATCTATTTTTCATGAAATTGTTTCTGTGTTCTTCTTCATCTTTGCAATATCCTCCATGAGCTCCTGAACCTCTCCTTTCCCGTTAGTTACAGTCATGTGCACCGCTCTATGCACGCTACATATCCCACAGTCAACCCTTTTTCAACCAGGGTGCCATGGCACCCTGGGTTGCCTTCTGTGTTCCACAGGGGTGCCTTGGTCCCATACCTGCCCCAAACTGCCCAAAAATTGGCAATAAACCTGCAAGTGGATCAAACCTGCATTTTGTTTTACAAAGTCACAGCATTACAACCTTGAGCACCATGCAGGCCCAGCCTTTGGCATCCTAACAGCCAATGATGTCATTGGTTGAAAAGGAGGACATCAGGTGCCTGCATCCTTGTTTGTCCCTTGCTGTCTTCATCAGAATTGGGGTCACCTTAGTGACTGAGGAAGAAGAGAAACGCTGGAATACTAGTCAGTACCAGTATACAAAAGTGTTTTTGCTTTGGAAGATAAGATCACCTCTAACTTTGGGTGTCCTACATGGGTAGATGCTGCTGCATGTAAATCTTTTACTTTAGTTTTTTACATCTTAGAATGAGGTGCCTCGAGATTGTGTAAAAATTTGAAAGAGTGCCCTGATTGAAAAAAGATTGAGAAACACTGCCATATTCCATTGTATAGACCAATTAGTCCATAGACTAGCTTGGGAACAAGCAAGAGAGGGTGGCTACATTTCTACATACAGTGGGAGAACAAACGTAGCCATCCTCTAACATGAAACCAGATCACAGCAGCAAATAACAAAAAAAAAGAAATTTGAAGATTTGGAGGAGGCTGAGAGCAAAAGAAGGTACTTTTTTGATTTAAGATTATATCCCTAAACAAGTTTTAACATTTAAGCCAAAATTTGGTGTTGCTTTAACATTGTTATGCACTTTATTGTATTTTTTTGTTACTGTGGAGATATTCCCAATTTGCTTCTGGTCAAAGGTGCTCAGCATGCACTATGAAATGCTTCTGCCAGCAATGCCAAAATCAAAAAAAGCACCATGCCCAGTTTTTAAAATGTGGAGCCGACTAGCATCTAAAAATGCACATCACAGGAGGGAATATGATTCATATATGCTTTATGTGCCAGTTGAGTCATAAGAGTTAACCCTTAAAGCCTAGTGCTGACAGAGCTACATTTTCAAGATTTAGTAGAAAAAAAGCTTTTTTAAAATACAAAATACAAATCTTCATTTGTGGGGGAGAACAGGAGATGGAGTGGAGTGTATCTGTTATCTGCCTGATTTTAAAGCAAAAAAAAACCCAAATTGTTGTGTCTTTGGGAAAAAGTCAAAATAATACAAGAGGCAAATGTGCTCGTACAGGCACCATAACATACTTGTACGTCTTGGCTTTCTTCCAAGTCCGCATGTGCATGCGTGCACGCACCTGGAAACTTGAGCTTCCATTCACTGCAGCGCAAGCTGATCAGTGTGTCCTGCCCAAAGATTTATGGCTGAGACCCACTGAGCAGCTGACCGAATGACAGAAGAGAACCCTGTGTTGGTAAACAACATAGGGCTCTTTTTTCTGCCTGCAAAGCAGGGAGTAAAAACCTGCACATTGTTTAGTTAAAATCAGCATACATTGTTAGGCACACAGTTAACCCCTTGATTGCTCCTAAATTGCTCCCAGCCAGTGTTATTAGTACACTATTACACTATACTATACACTATTAGTAGTGGGAGTGTACAGTATATTATTAGCAGTGATCACTGTATTAGTGTCACTGGTGATATCAGTGTCAGTTAGTCAGTTCCCCCCAGTGTTATTTAGTGTCAGATTGCCTACCGCACTATCACTGTCCCACTATAACTCACTGATCACCGCCATTACTAGTATAAAAAAAAATAAATAAACAATAAATAAATAAAAGTTCCAGTATCTATGTCATAATTTGTAGATACTATAACTTTCAAGCGAACCAATCAATATGCACTTACTGAGATATTATTTTACCAAAGACATGTAGCAGAATACAATTTGCATACATTTATGAAGAAATTTTATTTTTTTAATTTTTTTTATTGCATATGTTTTATAGCAGAAAGTAGAAAATATTGGATTGTTTTTTATTTTTCGGTCTTTTTTCTTATATATCACAAAAAATAAAAAAAAAACACAGTGGTGATCAAATACCACCAAAAGAAAGCTCTATGTGTGTGAAATAAATCATATATATCTCACTTGGGTACAGAATTGCATGATTGCGCAATTGCTAGTTAAAGGAATGCTAAATAGCAAAAAAAATGGCCTGGTCATGAAGGGGGCAAAACCTTCCGGAGCTCAAGTGGTTATACACTGTATAAAAAATCGTCTGTGACCATTTAAGTTAGTATGCTGTTACACCTCAAATGACCTTAAGAAAGTATTATCTAGTGTGCATCAGAGCAATGCAGACTCTGCTGTGCAGAGAGAAAGAAAGCACAATGTGCATGCTGACAGGAGAGAGATCTGTGTTTACACACAGATCTCTCCCCTCTCAACTCCACCGACGATCACAGAATGCCAGTCGAAAAATCTCCGGCCGGGACCCAGTGATTGACATCTGCTGCAACCAATGGCAGCACAGGTAGGGCAGCGCACACAATCACGCCCCCCCCCACCCGGAACTGCAAAATCACATGTATATATACGTGATTTTGCGCAGAGAAGCTGCCCTGTAGCAGTATATCTGCTGTAGAGCGATAGGCAAGTGGTTAAAGTGTATCTAAAGCTAAAACGTTTTGGATTACAGTTGGAAGGGTTTTAATCCTAGTCAGGTTTTTAAAGTAGAACTAAAGGCAAAACTTTTTTCATTTTGGACAGTGTAAGGGAAGGTTGTAATCCCTATCATTTTTATTTTTGATATCCGTGTCACATTGGGGAGATTTCCCTTCACTTCCTGCCCCATAGCTAAAACAGGAAGTGGGAGGAAATCTGTCACTAGAATGTCCCCATTGAACAATTTCCCTTCTAATACTGTTCTGGGGACAACCCAAAATTTAGGATTTTCTTTTACTTTCACTGATAATGGTAAACAAATGGTAGAAAAATAGAGAGGGTGAATCTGTCTATCAGGGGCACAAATAGCAATAAACAACCTGCTTAGTGTTTTAATCCATCTCCACTCTATCCAAAACCAAAAAAAAAAGTTTTACCTTTGGTTATACTTTAATGTGATCTATCCCTGTCCCTGATGGGAAGATTTGCCCTCTCTATTAGTCCTGACTATCATTATCACTGAGACGGAAAATGAAGGAAAATCCAATATTTTGAGTATTAAAAACATTGGACCAGAAATAGAGGGGAAATCTGCTAATGGGTACACCTTTTTCCATGACAGCTGCCTAAGGGTTCATGTACACCGCAGCTGATAAACTCACGTTTAGGAGTTGTTCTGCGTTTTATTCAGCAGCCCCTGAACTCTCCCTAATGTTTTCCTATGTGTTCATGTACACATCGTCGTTTATAGTCGTTTACAGGCAGTTGAGTTTACAGTCGTTTTTTTGAACACAACAAACTTGCTTTCAGGAGTAGATTTTTATCAGCGTTTCAAACGCCAAACGCTTGTAAACACGTGTAAATGCGGTTAACTGTGTTTTTATGAGAGTTTGCATGTAGAAGCGTTTTTTAACTGTTCCATATCCAGATGCTGTCCAGAGCCTTTTTTCATCATCAGAAATGCATGCAAAGCATTTTCAATATATTTAAATGGACATCGCACACCAGAGCAGTCAGTTCCAGGTTTCCGTGAAGGAAAAAATGGTCGACTGTGCTGCATTATGCTCATGATGAGATCCATAGTGAATAC